TCTATCTCCATACACATTGATCTTTCTCATCCAATTCGAAGTCACCAAAGTAACAAACTGGCATTACAACCATATATGCAAGAAGAAATATAATTTTTTTTAAAGAAAATACATAGTAGACGATTCGACTTTTAACAGGAATTTTAAAAAAAAGGTGAAACAATTGGACATAATTTTTTTTAGAAAATACATAGTCGAAAATTCGGCGTTTAACAATAATTTTTTTTTTAAAAAAGGCGAAACAACCATAACGGTCGGCTAGCCTGACTGTTACTCGCCGATCCATTTCGTCCTAAAATGCAGATGAATTTCTTTTCTCGTTCTTGTTTAAAAAAATTATTATCTGTTAAAAAAAAATTATTTACATTAACTATTTATGTCGAAATAAATTTAACGATTAAAACGTATACTGATTTAATAAAAATGAAATGAAATGAAATATATATAAATATACTTATTGATTCGAAATGATTGATATAAAAAAATTTAGGTTTCAGCGTTTGATAAATTTTTCAGATTTTAAGGTTGAAGTAGATGAAATATGAGAGATTTTTTTATCTGTGTTGAAATAAACATATAGCAAAAGTAAGTTGATTTTGAAATTTTACGCAGAGAGTGTTTGGTTTTTATTTGTTAACTAAATGATAGTATTGTCTTTTAAACAAAACAATATTTTGTAATTGTTTTATAAACTTAAGCGCAACTTTGTCTTTTGTCATTAAATATCTCATTGTGGAAATATGAATAAGTTGAAAAGTTAAAATGAAAATATGTCTCTTTGACCGGGTCAATTTTAAAAGTATCCCTTATGGTGGACTATTCCTCCTGAAAGCATTGTGGCATTCTCGAACTGGGCTTCCCAACAGAAAATGTGGGTTGGGCCTAAAAGTTCAATGCAGGCTTGTGCCTGTGTTGGACCTTATTGGGCTCCACCCATAGGTAACTATGATGCTTGACGCGATGACTACATGCAAATTGTGATGGTAATGATGGGTTTAATTAAAATTATTATTAATTAAAAACAATTAATAAGGAATGACAAACAGAGTGCGAATATGAATGGGCTAAGAAAGAAAGATGGATGAGAGAATTGAGTAGTCTTCATATTCTGCACTACTTGGAAAATAAATATGATTCTAATTATAAATAAATTTAGGATTCAAAATTATGAATTTATCCCTTGAAATGAAACGAATAAACGATCCACTATAATTTGATATTGTTACCTGAAATAGATAGCCTTGCTCATTTTTTAGTTTTTCTTCGACAATTCTCGAAACAAGAGTGCAAAACCTATAACTAAAACATCCAGAAAATACCGAAATATTTAAAATGTAAAAGATAACTAATAGATTTTTACAATATTATTTTAACACTTACTATAAACTAACAACTCTCTAATTCAAAATTGCT